CCGGCTCCGTCCTTATTAATAATAGGGTCCTTAAACAAGTAGCTCTAAGGATAAAGCGAGCTGAAATTTCTGTCTCCAGTCTGTCTCGTTCGGTAATAGGCTCTTCTACAAGTATACTTAGTATCTTGTCGATACTTCCCCTAGCTACGAATTCTTACGTACCCCGATTATTCGCTTGATCTATAGCTACCGTATACGCTGCCCTTGCTATATCCTCTAATTCTGTTATCTCCTCGTCAAACTCCTACTGCGACTCCTCTTCTTTATCCTCTCTCTCTATATCTGGTCGACTCTCCTAGAGAGAATTAGGACCCGTCTCCTCCAAATCTGGATAATCGAAAGGATTGTAGTCTTGGCTAAGCGAGATATCTTGATCCTAGGTACCTATATCCTCGTCGCTATACTGAAAATCTGCTTGACTGAGCGGTATACCTAGTTGCCCAAAAGGAAAATCTGAATTCTCGGAAGCTATCTCCTCGTCTTCTTCTTCTTGGGCATTAATATAATCGAGGAGAGCCTAGAGATATTTATCCTCTGTCGTTAGGGGTACCGTATTATCGTCCTGAGCATTCTCCTTATTAGCTAGAGGATGACCAGTTTGAACGCTAGGATCAGTATCTGGATCGTATTCCGAGCTCTTATCACCGCTCGAAATCACGATAGTCGCCTGCTTCTTACCGTCTGAATCGTTCAAACCCCTATTATCCTAATCGGCGCCAGGAGGATCTTGATCGTTCCCGTCTATCTGGCTACTAGTATCTGCATTATCCTGATCGGTACTAGGAGGATCTTGATTGTTCCCGTCTGTCTAGCTACCGGTGTCGCTATTATCCTAATCGGTGCTAGGAGGATCTTAATTGTTCCCGTCTGTCTGGCTACCGGTGTCGCTATTATCCTAATCGGTGCTAGGAGGATCTTGATTGTTCCCGTCTATCTGGCCACCGGTGTCGCTATTATCCTGATCGGTGCTAGGAGGATCTTAATTATTGGCGTCTGTCTAGCTACTAGTACCGGTTTAAGTACCCGTTTAAGCGCTAGGGTTATCGGGATTATCTGAGCTCTCGTCTTCGCTTAAGGACGCGGGAGTCTTCTTTCTCTTCTTCGCAGTCGGCTTCTTTAGAGTTAGCTTCGATTTCGTCTTCTTCGTCTTTGATCGAGGCTTATACATCGTACTCGGGTTGACTAGGCCAGAGCTATAGGGAGCAACTACGTAATTGTCTAGCCAGACATTCCACTCCTTCAGCAGCCTACGAAGACATTCGAGATCTTTCGCTATTACTGTAACTCGCTTGTAGTAGATAGCGAGAAGATTAGCTAACGAAAAGACTTTCGTTACTATGCTCTCGTACTATTCCTGGAGGATGCCGAGTGCGCTCGCTTGGATCCGTATAGGGAGGTAGTCTTCGGTAAAAAGGATAATAGTATCCCTAACGATACGTGCGAACGCGAGCTTTAGGATATAGTTTATAACCTCCGTCTGGCATTTTTTAATCTCCTACAAAGCTCCCTCTAAAAGAAATGTTAGTATATGCCGACTACATGTGCCGACTACGTCTGCCGACCAGGTATACTTACTGCCTCTCTTTTTTTGATTTTTCTTTATACCTGCGGATAGAAGCCCTTTCCTACCTGTTGCGCCAGGGAGTCTCTTTCCAGATGTTCGTAGTACCTTTCTGGCGATTGAAAGCTTACGGCGCGCTACGAGTGACGGCGCTATAACGATGGCAGCAGCAGGCGGTGTAGTAGGCAGAGCAGCAGGCGGAGCAGCAGGCAGAGCAGCAGGCAGAGCAGTAGGCGGAGGCTAGGAGGGGTTGTAGCGGGTAGGGGGCGGGGCGGGAGGGGGGGGGTCAACAACCAATGTTAATGTCGCAAGTTAGGTTTTTTTGGAAGTAGGGAATACCTTTGAAGGCGGCGGAATTCAGGGTCCAGGGGCGCGACCAATCAGAAGCGAGGGATTCTTTGTCTACGTAGGGTAGGCACCTGCCGTTTTTGGACAATGGAAGTGAGAAATAGTAAAGTGAGATCGCCGGAAATAGGAAATGTTGATATAACGACCGTATAAGCAGTGCCTAGCCCGTAAACAAGAGACCTAGAGATTTACATAGATATGATTAGTACGGGAGACAACATCTTACGGAAGCTCGTTTTCGGGTTATCTTACACATCTGGTACTAATTCTTCAAGTACTAGCCTCGAAAACGATGTTAGGAGTGTATGGTCGGCAGACGTAGTCGGCGAATTGCTGTAAGATCAAAGCTCGGCACTTGAATTCGCTTCTCCTGCGAAGCGCTTCCGAATCCAGCGACAAAGTTTCATATCCTTCTGTTATAAGGTTACCCGTTTTGCGTAAATCGCTAGCATATTAGAGACTTCGAACTCCTATATAAGAAAAGCTTCCGTTGCTTCCTGCAAGCAAAGTAGAGCCTTAGCTTGAAAACGGTATACACTATTGCTAGCATTGGTTGCCAAATCCATCGTAATCTCTCGACAAATCCTTAAGAATAGAAGTCGGCGTATTAAAAGCTCCGTAGACTTCTGGTATTTCCTGATTTCTCGGAGAGCGGCTACACTAGCCTTCGTTCGTCTTCTCGCTTTAGGCGCCTTTCGAATAATAGGCTTTTTCTGTGGTCGTTGACTTCCTAGTAGTCTCTTATTACTAGGATAGGTCTTCTATGCCACTTTTTTCGTACGTCCTAGTCTCCTTGCGGCGAGACTTGGTCGAGGGGAAGCTGTATTAGAGAGCTGTCGGTCTAATCCATTATAGATAACATGTAGCCCCTTTGGTTGAACCGATACTACCCCGTCTCGACCACGCCGCTTGGTCGGCAGGTCTGAATCTTCGTTCGTCTTATTATTATTAACTTAACCTGCACCTCTATCTGCCTACCTCTCCTCCGTCTGCCTCTCCTCCGTCTGCCTCTCCTCCGTCTGCCTCTCCTCCGTCGGCTTAACCGTCTGATCTAACTACTGTCGAGTCCTCTTATCACTTCCGCTATCGTAGGCAGCCTTCGGGAGTGCTTTAGCCTTCGTTTCTTTTTGACGCGGACTATCTCTTCTTTCCTGGTCGTCGTCGTCGTTAGGAAGAGAGGAAGAGACGTAGGAAGAGAGAGATTGTGTGTCTATGTTAGGCATTTTGAGAGTTTCGACTTGGTAGGAATATGTAGGATAAGAAAAAAGCAAGAGAGGATAAGTTGGTAGGTATAAGGAAGACCCGGAAATCGCTAAGCCGCTTATCTCTCGAGTATGTCGGATCGCGCGGGAAGGTAATTAGTAATCAGGACAGGGGTTCTATATATATCTACACTAGTATATTTCATATTATGTCATATGGTTTATACGCCGACTACGTCTGCCGAACACGTTCTACTCTAGCTACGAGATTTCACTTTTTTACTAGAAAGTACTACGATACCTTAAGAAGTTAGTAGTCTAACTATTTCTCTAGATAATGTAGTATTTATATATGATACCCTATAGCAGTTGT